AAAGTGGCTTTCCTTGTAAGGATAAAAACGGGGTAAACAAGGTACCGGTAATGCAAGAGGCCACGTTTTACTGCCGTTAATGACTTCACAAATTCACTCTGAAATGGGAATTCGATGGACGATTGCATCCAACTCTCTAGAACTAAATACGACTCTTTCTGTGTCAGCAGAAAACAATTTGGAACTTTGTGAGTTGGTCATGACCTCATGTGCCAAATATGCGTTCTCCACCTCTGAAAATATTATATTTAATTTTTGCAAAATGTTCCTTTTTTTTTTCTCACAGCACGACATTCTTTTCTTTGCACTCTGAAATTGCGCTACATTCATTTAGAGGCGGTTTCTATGCAGAGCCACTTGAACATCATTAGAGCTGAATGTGTAGTTAGACGTCTTGTCCGTTTTCGTTTTGACATTACAGCTGGGGGAGACGAAAGTTGAACCAAGATGGCCACTTTCCCCCGGTGAGTTCCAGGCACCTTATTTGACGAATGAGGCAGTAATTGTGGACATTCTTGCAGATAGAAATTATGGTCATTGTAGGCTGACCATAATGGATTTCTGGGAAACAGCAGCTGGTGACAAAGTAGGACTATAGATGATGGGGGGGGGGGGAAGGAAGATAGCCTGTCTAACACTTATCCCAACATTTTTCTGGATAACGACTTCGACTACAGGACAATCAAAATGCTTAGAAGCTGAGAAAACCCTCTAACATGCAGTTAAATGTTTATAAATCTAACGCAAAAATATCTAATTTGATCCAGTAGTGCAGGCACAAAGAAGAAATGACCAATTCTAGAGCCCCCTAAGCTATCGCAGCTCTAAACGATGCCGTGAACCAAAACGACTCACTGGAAATGACAGATTACACGGAGCATTTTCCAGGACGATTATTGGCCAAGAAAAAGGCCTCGTTCTCTCACGTCCAGCCAGAAGAAACAATGAACTGAGACTGGAGCCTAACTGAGAAACCTTGAGTTCTCGTAATGTATATTCCAAGGTACTGTGCAATGTGCACAGTATGCACAAATACCTCTCTCAAACATTTTTTTTTAATTTTGACAAGTTAATTTTGCCTCACTAATGGCTGTATTGCTTTCAACCCTGAGTTATGAAGCTGTGGATCTCTCTCTCTCTCTCTTCAGCTTCTCCACAACTACCAAGACACTCTAAGCTGCTCCATTGAATTTTTGCTCTCCTCTCCTTTCTTGTTGTTGTTTGAAGGATCGAAGAAAAGAAAACTTTTATAAGGCCTTGTAATGTTTAGACGTGTCTTGAATTCCAAATGGAGAGTTTAGTGGAAGGAAAAAATCCACAAGCAGCAGAAACAACTGCAGCCTTGTCACGCCCATACATTTGGGAAAGATGCCTTAGACTGTGTTAAGTTTCTATAGCTGATGTAATGAAGATTACGTCACTTTGCTTGATTGGCCAGCAGACTCGCCTGATCTAAAGTCCACGGAGAATATGTGCTATTGTCAAGAGGAAGATAAATAGACTGAAACAACTCACTGCATTGATTAATTCGGGCAGCAAATGCTGAGATTTCTGCATCGAGAACGTTTTTTTTTTTTTTTTTTTTTTTTGTTTTTTTTCAAAATTTTTTTTTGGGCATTTTTTTTCTGTGGGCCAAATTTTTCCGAAAAAAAAAAAAAGG